ACAAACTGTGCTAATTTAATAAAAAGGGAACAGCCGACTCACCGAGGAACCGAGATATTGTGTATATATATATATANTATATAATAAAACAAAATTAACTTTCTTTCTTTTATGTTAACGGTCTCAAGTCAGGGGTCTGTCCAGGCCAAATTTACTACCGACCTTCACAAAATCAACTTTAGGAAAAACGATAGTTTCACAACATATTTTTACTTAAAATTTTATTTTTGTATCCTGTAAGAAACGATAAATCCATATTTTTGTGTTGATTTTTTAATGTGATTTTAAATTTTCACAAGTTATGTCTAAATTTTCACAAAATAGGTACCTCTGAGAAAAATCTAGATAGACCCCTGCAAGCTTCTTGTATGAATAAGAAAAATTTTGCTAATACACTTGACAAACAAAATTTTTAAAATTTTTCATAGTTTAAAGTTCAAGTTATAGGTTTGAATAGCGTTTCTCGATCGCTTAGTATTTGCGATCCAATTTTCTATCACAATTCTCAACGCCCTTCTTCCTCATACGAGCTCTATAATCGTAATATTAGTTTCTGTTTATTTTAATTGTATTTTGATATTAAAGCTACACTACGACCTTGATTACAAACCTTGAAAATTATTTTTATATTGAAAAAGACTGTAATAAACTTTAACACTTTTTTTTTCTTCAAATATCTCCTTTAGATTGATTTATTTAAAAAAGGTAGGAAGGTCTGGAAGAGACTCAATAAGTACTACTTTTGTTTTTAATTTAATAATGAAAAGTTAACTATTGAATGCATTCTTCAGTACTTTTGTCCATTATATCAAAGCCCAGCATTTTTCGCTGCTTTCGTATGAGCTTTTATAATGGACATTAGTAAGTATACTAAGAATTCTCAGCCCTCTCAACTTTTTTTCTTTCTAAAGTTGATGCCAATGGGAACAACAATACAACATGATACTATAGATATGATTCTTGATTAGTAAATATATGTCAATTGCAAAGCAAAAGCAGCGCTATTAATTCAAAAATATAAGGTACTCGTCGCATTTTTAAATTCTTTTATTTTCTTTCGCTGCAAATTTGCTTGTAATAATATGTTCGAACTGCTTAATATCAGTTAAAAGAATGCATAAAGCTATTTTCATATCATAGATTACGTTCTTTCACACATCGATAAAAAGGATTAAAAAAAATTATGTCAACAAGCAATCCAAATCCCGTTCTTATGAAACTCGGAGACCCTGACCAATATTGCGTTTAAACACTGAAGTTACTAATTGAAACAACTTTTCTTTCGAGCTGTTTGCGTTGGAAGTTTTCTATAAACTCGAATCAAGTTCACCTGAAAACTATGCCATCACTTCATTGCGTTTTGGATATGCTTGAGTAGATAGATTTTTCTTGAACTCAGGTCAAGCATTATTCTTCTCGATGCGTACCAAACATTGTTTAAAAAATGGACAAAAACAATGGAAACTTAGCTTCTTCATGTCTTCCGTCTTTCATCAAATGATGGACTTCAGTAAAGAAAAATAACTATTGTTCAAGAATGATAGTTTTCCTCTATAGTTCGGAGAGTTATTTTGGTACAACTATTTTTACGAAGAGAAAAAACTGAATAAATAGTTAATTTATTCGTCAGCATTGAAAGTATTATTTTAAAATCTTCAAGTTTTGAAAAGATGCGTCTATTCAGGACATAGTTATTTTTGGATGATGTAGCTTAGACGCACTGGCATACCTTTTCAGGGGAGACGTGTATTAAAGTACTGACCTTTAGGTGCACCGTTAGAAATTTCTCGGAGAAAATGGCTAAATAATAATCTATTTAATTGTTATTTTACCGTATTTAAATAAAGCAGTCAAATATCCATAAATAAGATGGTAATCAAACAATTGACAGTGAGAAAAATCGTTTATTAACTATTTTTAAAAAAAATCTAAAACTGTTAAATAACCAGAACTTTATTGCACCGACTAAGCCCACCTAATGAAGCAATTTAGTTTCTTGCAACTGCGTAAGTATTATAGCCGAAAGGGCTAATCTGTCAATCGTATGACCGACGGAACGGGGGTTCGAATCCCAGCGTTAACACCTCCATTCCCTTTAGCACATGAAGAGTTTCGGCGTCCTGCTCTCTCTAATTTGTGTCTTGCACTCTCAAATGCCCATTACCTAACGAGAAGCCTGGGTCCTATGTCTAGTTAAAATTTCTTTTTTTACGGTTTTGGAACCATGGTAGCTCGAAATGGTTAAAAAACCGTATAGTTTCGTATTCCTAGTTTTGTAACCATACCAGTTGTAAACGGTTTCAAAACCATAAAGGCGAAAAATATTCTTCACTGTGAACTTCACGGGTGATTGGATGGACAGACTGCTGACGGTTATTTTACCGTAATTTTAGAATGAAAATTTTAATTAATGATCCAAAAAATTAATATGGTAGTCAAACTTGAGGAGGAAAAAAAATCGAACTTGAGAGTTAGAAAATTCTTGTTATGGTACACATCAAAGATTAATTGCCATCGATAAACACCATAAAATTAATTAGGTTCAGTACCCCATAATGATCGATGATGTATTTATTGAAATTAAGTGAAAAAAGGCTAAAATATTATTAGTAAACAAATTCAACATAGAGATTACAATGCTGAGATCATGATAACTATTAAGTATCTACAAAATTGTAAATTAATTAGTACATGAATGCAAAGCACAGCACAACATGTAGATTTGAAATTTCAACATTTAAATTAGTAACTGTAACAATAGTCCCCAGGTATTTTATATTTAATAGCAGTCGCTGAATAGCAGACCCAACCTTGAGTTTACGACTACCAATGTTGAACTCCGTTGTCCCGTGTAATTTTGAAATCCAGAAGACGAGGGAACTGCGGTCTTGGGAGAAATTGGTCTTTGAGTATTGGAAAAAATCTTTGTAGAGGAGTTTTTTTTTTCTTTTTCCAATTAACCCTCATTTGCTTTACATAGAGAGAAAAACAAATTCTTTTTTTTTCTTTAAGAATTTTTTTGGTTGTGCTTACAGACGTGATAATTTTTAATTTTTAAAATTTTTTCGTATTATGAAATGCTTTTATAGCATATTTCTTTAAATTTCGCTCATGAAATAAAATCCAGTAAAATGAAATAAAATCCATCTCAACTAATGACATATTAATATGCTATAAGACTGTTTAAAAGGTTTCTCTAATCAGACTTTTAACCTTTCGTTTAATTTTACATAAACAATCGCTTAGCAAGCAAACGGGGAAAAAATCATAAAATATGTGATGAAATTTTACGTAGTGTTGCCTATCTAATACATTGCATGCTAGTTCTCAGAAAGTTTAACTTGAGAATCTCATTGTTTTCTTTTTGTTCTTGTTTTGTTTGTGAGCGTTGTAATTTTCGACTTAAAAAATGGGTGATTATCTCGAAAATTAAGAACCTGCGATTAATAATATTGAAAAATACTACCGAATTGTTGTACATTTAACCGTAGTTTGATATTAGTATTACAGTATTAAAACAGATCAGTTTAAGTGTACGATTCAAGTGCACACTAGCTGGATGCGGCTATGTTGCGCCAAATTGAAGGTGAAATGTTTACAATAACTATTCTAACATAAGTAGGACATCTTGAGGTCGTAGATTCTAGGAACAGAAAATTCAATATTTTTAGATATTTTTTTGGGAGAATCCTTTCTGGCCCAAAGTCACAGGTGTTCCTCGCTCAAAGTTTCCCCCCCCCCTTCCCTTTACAATCGCAGGTGGGGAGTTGACGCTAATCCATCGTACTTGAGATAATCTTCCTTTCCATAGGGGTTGATAGTCATTATGCGTTTATCTCTGATTGGCGCCATTTCGTTAATATTTACAAAATGTTATGATTTTACAAAACAAGAATAAAATTCGGAATTTTTAAAGACTGCTTTCTTTTCTGAGTGATTATTTTTAAAAATTTATTTATTGCAATTCGTTTAAAAATTTATTTATTGGTCTCGTTAATATTTACTATTTACAAAATGTTATGATTTTACAAAACAAGAATAAAATTCAGAGTTTTTAAAGACTGCTTTCTTTTCTGCGAGGTTATTTTTAAAAATTTATTTATTGTTTTCGTTAATATTTATTGTTTAAAAAATGTTATGATTTTACAAAACAAGAATAAAATTCAGAGTTTTTAAAGACTGCTTTCTTTTCTGCGAGATTATTTTTCAAAATTTATTTATTGTAATTAAAATATCAGTATTGTAGAGTTATTTCGAAATATTTTTAATCCCCTTTGCTCACAACATTTTATGAAACATAAAGTTAATTAAATATGAAATTTCTTGCGACATTTTCTTAGTGTGTGTTTAGTATTAAAATTTATTTATTGATTATCTTTTGGGCCAGAGAGGACATCCCCCACATTGACAAAAAAAAATAATAATAATAATCGCATGTCAGAGGACGAACCAGCTGTCTTGGAACCTTGAAACTTTAAATCGTTGATAAGATGTTCCAATAAATTATTTATGAAATCTGATTCGATGTATGTTTGGCACTAGTAATACAGTAGTTTGTTACGAGTTCGTTTGTCAGTATTAAATAAAAAGTAAGTGCTTGTTCATACACTTTTGTATGCTTGTCAAATTTTATTTATGGGATGTAAATTAGAGACTTGAAATCATTAATGAAACCTTGTAGTTAAATAACTTGTAGGTTTGAATAGTTAATTTCATCAAATGAGTCACTCATTCTTGTGAAAACTGATCACTCAAACTATTATTCACAAATACCAACTGTTGTTAAGGGGAAAAAAATGACGTAAAAGGTTGATCCTTTGTCTTAAGACGCTACTAATGACATCAATTAAAAATGACGTAAGTTAAACACGCGTATGAACTGTGCCACGGGACATCACGTGCTGCGAGAGGTCATATTACCCTTAGAACTTCCAAGATGAGGTAATTTTCACTCAGAGAAAGAGTTATTATTACATAATGCAAGCAACTGACAACTGAATCCTTGAATCACAACTCTCTCTTGAGTCTCGCCTTAAGTTCATTCGGGTAGAACGTGAATCAAAACTTCTAATGCCTTTGGGCAATGTCCTGTGCCATTTCCTCATCGGTGAACGTCAATTAAGTTTTTTTGATTTTCTCTTTAACCTCACCTTGGCTTTTTAGAGATCCACCTATATCCCATTTGAGTTTTAACTCCCAAGCTGATAAGCATTACTCCTCGGTTTCTAGTTCATTTAGAATATTAAGGGATTTACCCAAAAGGATATGTCTGTAGTCTGTTAGGAGGTGAGTGAAATTTACGAACACTTGCTACGTTATTTAAAGTTTCTGTAGTTGATTTTCGACTCTATAAAAGAATGCAGCTCTTCTTGGATAATATTTTATCACTATTTATCAAAATAAATTTTAGAAATAATCATTAAAATTCATCATTATGAGTGACAATTGATGTGATTAATTATTAATTAATTATAACTTAATATTAATTACGATATAATAATGATAATTTCGCATTTATCCAGATAAAGGTCACTTACTACACGAATTAAAATGTATCAAGCAAACGTTTATTTTTTTAAATTTTTGCTATATTGGTTTAAAGGTTAAAAACTTTTTTTTTAAAAATAATAATTAAGTCTCATTGCTAGATTAATTATGTTTATTAATGATTAAGTTTCATAGTAGGCTGATAGTACGACACGGTTCCCAGTAGATCACAAACGTCAAGCAGTGCTCAGTGAGTGAGTGTTAGGCCACTTTGATCTGCCTGCGAAGGAAACGAGGGTGCGCGGTATTAGTTATCGGGAACCTGTTCTACCGTTAATTGTTTGATTTCGCATGCAAGTCCTCGGGGTACCTAAGCGGTGGAGCTGTCCCCTCTGCCGAGAATTAAAATTGAGATTAGCATGCCTTCAGATTATCCTGACGGATGTTTCTTTATCCCGTCGCCAGTAGCTCATTGTACAGCTCTAGTGCAACATAAGTAAAATACTACTATTATTAATGATTATTTTTAATTTCCATATAAATGTTACTTGTTAGCTGAGTCAAGTAAATTTGTTTAAACCTATTACATTAACATTTATGCTAAAATTTTACTTTTCTAAAGGTCTTTTCTGATTTAAATCTATCTCTTCTTCCTCAATATTAATCTACGAAAAAAGTTTCAACTCAATTTCCTTATTTATTAAGAAACTTAGGAACTTTTTAAGTATTTGTTTGTGTTATTTTATTCGTTTTCGATTCGAACCAAGAATTTTGGCCCGTGTTGAACCATAATATCATTCAAATTTGCAGCACCTTAGTTAGGACAAACCGAATAATCAATCTTGTTAAACTCTATTACTATGTATCATGATAAAATATGATCCAAGTTAATACCTATATAAGGCATTAGAAAATTTACACCTTGTTATCGTTAAATATTTTACCTATTTTACTGGAAATGTAGTTCATCATTTTTAAAATTTAAGTACTTTTACAATACTTTCAAAGTTTAAGCTTCAACAATACTTAATCTTAAAATTTAGTAGCGGTGTTCAATAAAACATTTTAATTAATAAAAATTAAAAAAAAAAAGATTTTTTTAATAAGTTATTAAATAAGGAAATTTCGTTCATATAATTCTTTGTATAATCAAGATAGTGAAAGTAGAATCCCTTTTGTGTCTGGAGGACTGGTGATAACTTTGTTAAAAATTTAACTTTTAAAATTCCTAATATTGAGGAAATTCAGACAAAATCGGGTCATGGGGATCTTAAGGTTTGTTTCCTTTCTTTTCTTTTATTCCCCCTCTAAGAAACTCGGTGTCTTACTTTATATAAAAATGTAATGATGGTGTCGCATTCCATTGTTGTCGGTGCATTTTCATTGGTCGTAAAATCACATGGTATGATCAAGTTTTCCCATATTAATTATTCATATTGGTTTGGTTGTCATCAGCATAAAATTGATATAAGTTATAAAGGCATTGTTTTGCGATGAATATTTTTGCATCCTTAATTTAGAGGTATTTACCTGTGCTGTTATTAGTACGTTTTTGTTTGTTTTCTAAATTAAGAGTTTAAAAGGATTGTTTTTATTATTATTATTGATAGAATAACGTAGTTATACGTTACATTTTAAGATAAAGTTATTTAATTCGTCTTTTTAACCTTTTTACAATTATTATTTTTTGGTGCAAATTACATTAATATACTATTATGAATTATGGTTAAAGAGGTTCGTTAAATGAGTTGGAACTTAAATTTCAACTTCATGCACAAAGTTATGAATGCAAAAATTGTATTCAAAATATACATACGTTCGTTTGGTGAGCAAAAATATTAAATTACAGTTGTGTTACAGTTTTTTTCGTTGAAATACTTAAGTCTCCGATTATAAGTTTTTCCCCCCTCAAAACAGGTCCGAATATCTGGAGTTTAAATAATTAGCATTGAAGCAATCCACAATACTTAAATCAATTAATTTTGTAGGAGAAAAAATTTAAGTTACTTTTTTCTTAATTTTTTTTTGTATTTTTAGCTATAACAATACGGAAAAAAACTCAATTAAATAAAGTAGAAATTTACTAATACGGAATTAAATAAAGTGATGTTTTGACTTAAATTTTGATTAGTTTGTGTACAACTATTCATTACAGAACGTATACAACTATGAGATAACAGAACGTTATATAACGGAATGTATGCAACTATTTGTCACAGTCTATTATTGGAATCCAGACGTACAATATAAAGACATGTATCAACTAAAGACATCTTTAATTTTTAAATGAAAATTTTTTATTGACTTTCTTTATAACTTATTATTTATTCTCTGAGACCCAAGCCCTAAATAATGAGAGAAAATGTGATTTTTATTTAGAAATATGTAGCACAGAAAAAAGTTAACTCATAACTAAAAAAAAATCATTAAACTTAACTTTTTTTTTAAATTATTTTTTCCTAACTACATAAAAGAGAAAAATTTTAACTTTTAATAATTTTTGCAAATTGGCGGATATTTTCATCGTATATTTCTTCACATTAAGACAAATCCGTGAGACTAAACTCTAATAATAAGATATCTAAATGTCATAAAACGTTCTAAAGGATTACTTAATCGAACGACTTTTAATCCTAATTAACCGTGTGTAATTCAAATTATCAACTTTAAGATAGTCATTTATGTAGACGATTGCTTTATAAGGGATTCAAACAAACAAAAAAAAATAATCTGAAAATATCTTAAGTGATACAAAATGCTGTCCACTCTAATGAACATTAAATCTTAAAAAGAAAATTTTTTAAAACTTTTGACTTTTTTTAACGACATTCGGTACAGTTTACACTAAAATAATAATTTAGCATTTTTCCGCTTGTATGATTTTACAAAGCTATTGTCTATTTAGAAATATAGTTGGTTTTATTCTCGTTAATTTGATTTTTTTTATTGAAATCAAAAATTGAAAGAAAGACAAATTCAAGTAACCTTTTGAACACTTTTAATGGCCTAGTCTAGTCGGTAAACTTAGTTTCACGACCCAAATATGCAGAAATACCCTTTAAAAGTATTCTACATTATGCAAGTAATGCCAGAAACTAAAATTTATTTATTTACTAGTGGGCTGCGCCCCCTGCTCGCTAACGCTCGCCAACCCCCGAAAATTGCTACGCAATCTTATATGGTTTGATTCGCAAACCAAGCTCGCTTCGCTCGCTACTAACTTGGGTACTTTGCAAATGCACAAAATTCTAAGAATTCAAAACAATCATTCAAATCCGTATAACAACTTCATGGTTGGATTCAGAATNAAAGTTTGTTAAGCTTATATATTTACTTCTTAATAGCAAAAAAAGAAATGTGCTATAGTATAAAATCTTAAGATAAAATTTCTAAAACTGATATCTCTTTAAAAAGGTTAAAATTTTGGCTATAATTAAGTCTATTAAAAATTGAAATAAGTGAATTGCAATGGAAAAACCTGCATAAACAAGTAAATTCTAGTAAAACAAATAAATTCGTGATATAAATCAAAAATCGTCAAATAAATTCGTGAAAAAAAGCGCTTTCGACAAAATACTAAAATAGAGATCTATCGACGAAGACTACTCACTTCTGCCTATGCTCTCTCTATTTATTTCAGTTTCCGTTTTTAAAAGCACTATATGTTTAGCCATCTCAGCTAGATTTGGCATGTGACATTTTTAGCGGCAATCATTGGTCTATTTTCTAGCGTTGCCATTCGGGGAGTTATAATGAGGCTTTTTTTGTCACCGTGTAAGAGAAATATATATATAGATTATTCAATAATGTGCTTAAAAAATAATTAAGATTAAGTGATCTAAGTTTATTAAAGATTTTTTTTCACCACCTTTATGAGAAAGTAAATTTGTATTTCTGAGTTTATACCGCATTTTCTGCCATTATTTATAGTTAGGGTCTCAGAAGGAGATATTATACTAATTGTTTTTGAAAACTAAACGTTTATTTCTTAACGTAAGAGAACTGTTTGCTGTTCTATAAAATAAGTATTTTTTCTTTGAAACATTTTCGCCTGCACTCAATATTCCCCAGTTCAAATATTGCACTAAACTAAACTCAGTGGCGCGATAGTCCATAGAGGGCCAAGGCCTACTGTGCCCATCTCAGTTTTCTTGACCCTGGGCTCTGGGGTACAGGAGCAGATGTTCCGGTTAGGTGGTCAGCCGAAAGCGAAACCCCCATTAGTTCCCAATCATGTTTGGTACTCATTTATCGACCCACTGAAGGGATGAGAGGCTGAGTCAACCTTGCCCGGCCTGAGGATTGAACCCAGGACCTGTGGCCCGGGAGCGCAAAGCGCTACCACTCAGCCACCGGGCTTCACAAATATTACACTAGCCACCTATTTTTACAAAAAAGAGAGAAAAGTGTTCTAAAATGAGAACGAATATGCTAGTTTAATATCTTAGCTCCCCCTCCCCCTTAAATTTATGTAATATTTTTGTTACGACTCTAATAAGCTATAAAAATATTCCGGAATATTTTTTACCTCTAATAGCTCGTTTAATGAAGGTATCATTATGAGTAGTTGAAATACAATGTGAATCACTTGACTTGTCACAAGTATATGACGCGTGAGGCATTAATTACTACATAAATTACAAAAATACTTTCCTTGAAGTGATGGTTCTATTTTTTATGACTTGCACAACACCATGTTTTAAAACTTCTGGAATTAGAGGTCGCGCCCCACTGCTCTTATCTCACTACTACAAGAATAGTAACTTTTTTTCGGTGACAAGCATAGTTTTCACGTAGTTTTTAAGATTGACATTTTATTGTATTCTTATTTCACGTTCATTTAGTTAATGTCGAAAACTGGACAAAATTTTGACATTGTAAATTTTTCTTTCAATGGTCAAGAAACTATTGCAATTTGTTTTGTCTACCTACACAGAGTTCCGGTTAAAACTTAAGCATTCTAGCTAGGCAGAAATAGGTCAAAATTTCGACTTTTGAGGTTTTGCTTTTAGCGGTTAGGAAACTATTTAAACTTTCATTACCATCAAGCAGGGAGTTGTAGCAGTGGTTTAAGTGCTCCGGCTAGTCAGAAACTTGTCCAAATTTTGATTGTTGTTAGATCACACCCTCTCACAGACAGAAGCGAGTTAATAAAAAATTAAGAAACATGCATAAAACATTTGTTTTTTTACGTGGTAAACCACATTTTGCAACGCATAAACAAATCATCTTTTTTATAACCGCCGTTCAACAACCGACTCAATTTGGCTTTACGACTTCTAATGTTCAACTTCGTAGCCTTGTAATTTTGAACCCAATCCCGAAGACGAGGGAACTCATGGATCAAGCATAGGAACTAACCAACATTTGCGTTACATGGAGGGAAAAACCACACAAATATCCCAAGGTTAGACTGACGGCAAGGGGACTTTAGCCCATTGTTTTCAGCATAGAAAAAAAATGGGTGAGAATTTCTCACCCTTTCTCAAAAACAGGGTGATATTTCAGAAAGTTAAGTGAGATTTCTAAAAACTGAAAAAATACAAATAGACTTGAAAGAAAAAATTTCTTTTATTATAATACATTTTTAACGTCTATTTTTGAAAGCATTGAATATTTTTGCTGCATCATCATAGAAGATTTTGCCTTTACTACGTATTTGTCCATCTTACATTAGTGCATAAAAAATTTGAACGTCTTACATGAAAAAACCTTACCTACGTTAAACACGTGGTTTCAGAGAAATGTGTTCTGAAAGGGGTTCCGTGGTTCGGTTGTGTTCTGTTGTTCGAAAAGGTTCTGAACAATACTGGTAAATANTGTTTTATTTTATTTTATAACCGTCGTTGAACAGCCGACCCAATTTCATGGGTTTACGACTACTAACGTTCAACTCCGTAGCCTTGTAATTTTGAACCAATCCAGAAGACAAGGAAACTCCTGGATCAGTACCCCGAGAGGTATTGATTTGTTGTGGGAACATGGAGGACTTTGAGACTCGACAGATTTAACGTGCATCAGTCACCATTAACTGCACGGGGAGTCTTCGGCCGGGGAGGATCGAACCCACAACCTCTTGGATATGGGCCCAGCGCCCTACCGACCAGGCTATCCCGGCCCAAATAAATCAAATTATTCATTCCATACTTATAGCTGATCATAAAATGTTCATCTATTAAATTCTTTATGTATGAACATAATTAGTGTTCCGTAACGACCGCCCTTAGTATACAGTTTTATAATAATTTTATTTTATTTTTTTATAGCCGTCGTTGAACTGCTGACCCAATTTTTGGGTTTACGACTACTAATGTTCAACAACGTAGTCTTGTAATTTTGAAAGCAATCCAAAAGAGAAGCGTTTTATAATCATTTGACAAATATGAATTTATGTAAAGTATGCATATTAGGTGTCACAATAAAAACGCCGTTCAAATCTATCCAGTTATTTTTTAGGAATTTCAAAACCAGTTTAATTGTCCAATGAAACATGTAATCTGTTTCTTATAATCATCTTTTAATTCCTTTTTGTTTCCTCCGCGATTAAATTTTTTCTGGTCCGATTTCCTTGGTTACGGGTCATATAAATTTATAATTGCGGTTGCAAATATACGTTAGTACTTGTAGAATTTTAATTTCGTAAATACCATTTATAGAGGTCTGGATTTGAATTTGTTATAAACATCCGAGAATCACGACATATACCACTCCGACCTCGGATTCTGAAATTTTGGTGATGATGGTTATACTTACTTAATATATCGTGTTTAAAAAGTGCGCATTTTGTGCTGTGACCATTTTCTTAAATACACATTTTGAGCTGGGCCTGATTTCTTAAATGTGCTTTTTGAGCTGGGTCCTTTTTCTTAAACACGCATTTTGAACTATGTCTATTTTCTTGAAGACGCTTTTTGAGCTAGTTTCATTTTCTTAAAAATGCACTTTTTGAGCAATGTCCATTTTCTTAAATACGCAATTTCAGCTCTCAATTTTCTTAAATACGCATTTTAGCTGGGTTAAATTTCTTAATTGCTCATTTTAAGCTGAGTCCATTTTCTTAAACGCTCTTTTTGAGGTGGGTTAATTTTCCTAAATCTATTTTTTTACTTACGTCTAAACAACGAATTGAGAAACATCTAATATTTCTAACGATTCCGAGACTATAATACCAAATTACTACGATCATGAATTTTTTTTTTTAACAACTCTTAATATTTATAAATTGCTTCTAACATATACAGCCTGTTTGCATCACATTAAGTACTCAGAAAATGTTTGTATTTAATATAAATATTTAAATTATTTGGTTGTTTTATGTCTTAACTCAAAATGGTATGCTTTCTATGCAATGTCTGCTTTCCCTTTATTTCCGTAAACATAATGCCTGAACAAATTTTGTAAACTAAGTTAAAATATTTTTATTTACAGGTCCAGCCGAATTCTCCACATCAAAATTGAAATGAAATATCCATCTGATGACAAAGACTCACACGATGTAAGTTTTGACGTCTAAATATTTTTTAATTTTATTTTTTTGTTATTCATTTATTTATTATTTTAATTACATCATTGATAAAAGCTGTTACCACTATAAAGTTCTCCCACTATTAAACTCACGTTTTTCTTTCTTAAAATCTCTGATTTTATTGAAATTGAAAACAGTTTATGGGAAATCATATATTCCATGGAAACTAACGTGCCTTATTTCGGAAAAAAAAATATTTAAAAAAAAAAAAAAAATTTAAATTTAAATAAATGTAGTTTTTTTTCTTGTTTACAAAATACGGATCAAAAAAATTTCAAACTAGGAAAAGGCTTTATCTGAAGGACTGGGAACTTTAGTGATAAAATTTTGATAAACTAAAAACTCCTTAAAGGATGCCCATAGTATAGCAAACTCCTGATAATTAAACAAAAATTTAATTATCAAGAACAAAAAAAAATCAATCTATCATTTCTTTCGTATAACTTCATATATAATTGTATTATATTATTTGTATAAAGAGAAATTGAGTAATTTTAATTAAATTTAAATCTGTTTAATGCAAAAATAACAAAAGGCTGAAAAAGAGAGGAAGACCTGTTTTGACGCATGTGCAATACACAAAAAATAAACGAAATATCATGAATAACATTTGATCTAACAATTGGATTTTCACGTACTAGGACTTAATTAAGATGGTTTAAATATGCTAATTAATTAGTGCAGACGATTTTTTATGTTACTAAATCAGACATAAAAACGAATGTACGTACATCTCTGCTTGTTTCGCCATATGTCTCTGAATAAACATACTTCTTCTGAATAAACATACATTTTTTTCTTCCGCTCATTATGATTTCTGTCCCCCAAACTATAGGGGATAGCCACAGTCTGTGAACTATGGTTCAAACAATTTGGTCAGGAGAGCGATTGAAAGTTGAAGCACGTCAATCTTAATTTCATTTTTTACTTAGTTCACCATATTCCTCGAGAATTTTTTGTGCGAATTGAAAAATTTTTGCGTGGAATTGTAAAATTCATTTATGCAAAGGTAATTCCATCGAAGAAAAAAAAAATTTATTATTTATTTGATTTAATATTAGTCAAAAATACTTTTAAGTGTAAAGTATTCACATTTTTACATCATTTTAAATAATGTATTTTGACATGACGAAATATAAAATTTGAAAGAAATCTGTCAAATAATTCCTGAGAAATCAAATAAAAGAAAAATCAGATATTTTTTAATTAAATTTCACTTATACTTTGTCGGCTGATTTCGTAAAAGTTTTGTGTTTTGCCATATAAAATTGCATTATTTAAAATGGTGTGAAGTAAATAAAATAATTATTAAATAAAATAACAAAAAATAGTAATTTTTAAAAATTATTTTATGCAGGGAACTATCTCTAGATAATCGAATTTTATAACTGTGTGCAAAAATTTTTTAAATTCGCTTAAAAATTTCTCTAGATCTGGTGAAATATTTCTCTCTTGACCAAACTATCAGACCATATTTCTCAGATTGCGGCTACCCTCTAAATTTTAGGGATCATCTATATATATATTTCTCTTACACGGCGACAAAAAAAAGCCTCATTACAACTCCCCGAATGGCAACGCTAAAAAATCGACCAATGATTGCCGCAAAAAATGTCACATGCCAAATCTAGCTGAAATGGCTCAACATATGGCGCTTTTTAAAACTGAAACTGAAATAACCAGAGAGAGCATAAGCTAGGCAGAAGCGAGTAGTCTTTGTTGATAGATCTCTATTTTAGTATTTTGTCGAAAGCGCTTTTTTTCACGAATTTATATATTACGAATTTATTTGACGATTTTTGATTTATATCACAAATTTATTTGTTTTACTAGAATTTATTTGTTTATGCAGGTTTTTCCTTTGCAATTCACTTATTTCAATTTTTAATAGACTTAATTATCGCCAAAGTTTTGACCTTTTTAAAGAGATATCAGTTTTAGAAATTTTATCTTAAGATTTTATACTATAGCACATTTCTAATGGGTTTAACGAATTACATGTCATTTATTTGAATTCAAATTTATTTTAATGACTTTGTATTTACTAAAAAGATGTAATTTTTTTTAAAAAACAAAGTTGTTATAAGGATTTGAATGATTGTTTTGAATTCTTAGAATTTTGTGCATTTGCAAAGTACATTAGATAGTAGCGAGGGAAGCGAGCTTGGTTTGCGAAGCAAACCATATAAGATTGCGTAGCAATTTTCGGGGGTTTGCGAGCGTTAGCGAGCAGGGGGCGCAGCCCACTAGTAAATTATAATCCACCAAAAAAAAAAATATTTTTATTAATAAGTACCTTTTTATGTGTGATTTAGTAATTTGAAAGTATCGTCTGTACTGCTTAATTAAAATATTTGAGGTACCCCTGAATTATAATGATTGGATCCTAGAATATGTTTATTATATGCACTAAAACCTGTAAGAAAGACCACCTCTGCATAGCGACCTCCTCTATTTGAGACCACTTTTAGGAGGCACTGAATTTTTTCCATAGACTTAGTGTTGAAGAAAACCTATAGGATAGACCAGGGATGGGCAAACATTTTGGGTCGTGGGCCAAAAATCTAGAAAAAAAAGTTTGGTGGGCCGAGTAAAAACTTCTGAAATAAAATAAAGTCAATTCTTCATTGAGTGCATGTCACTCTACATCAACTTAGCGTTTTTTAGTTGCCATTTTGGGATACAAAATGTTTACAAATAACTCAGAAAGGCAGTAGCCATTTTATACATTTACTAATTTCACCATTATTTACAATGACGTTGTATGTGTGCAACGTTTCCATACGCAGTAAATTATGTTAGAACTAGAGCCGGCAGAAAAATCCGTTCGTTGGAACTTAAAACGCGTAGTCAGCCTCATGTGAAGTACAATTCACCTATATTAGATTCCATATGTCTGCTCCTCGAGAAAGACAAATACTAGTTGGAGCTAATCTACAGCTATTCTATAAAGAACTTTTGCTGTCAACATTTTACCAGTTAAAGCTGTTTGTGCTAACTATTTTGATTAATTTATGTTTTGTAGAACAAAAATAGAGAAAGTGAAAAGGTCATCAGTACTTTGTTAAAAAAGAAATCAACAAAAATAGTTTTAAACAAAGTAGATATATTCGCCACTGATCGGCTAGTTAAAATTCTGTCCGCGGGCCGGATAAAATCTTCCGGCGGGCCACAGTTGGCCCGCGGGCCGTAGTTTCCCCATCCCTGGGATAGACCATCAGATCCCCGCTCCAAATGCGGAAAAAGGTCAATTAAGGAAACACGAAAAAATATTAACAAAACAAATCAGTCGATTCAAATGTATTCGAAATAATCACGAGCTCTTAATTAAAGGGCTCTTTTTGACGATTGTTGAAAGACATTGACAACCTCATGTGACAGTAGAATAAAAAGTTAGTTTAGTACAAACTAAGCATCTCAATCAAATAAATCTTTCTAGCTATTCTTTTAGCTCTGCGATTGATCTCATCACTGCCTACTCGAAAATATTGCATTTATTCAGATAGTTTGCGCGTGTTGCGCCAATTGGGACATTTCGAAGAATCGACTCACCCAATTTTAAATTTTATACATCATCTGTTAAATTCTTTTCATAGAAATGGGTTTGATATTTTATTTTGTTGGGTTCCAAGTCATGTCGGAATTCCAGGCAATGACTTGGCCGATGTTGCCGCACGATCTGCTACAAACCCTTTCTCTCTGTCTATACCATACCAAGATATAAAAACACACGTAAGACAGCTAACGAAGTCTCTATGGTTGCAGCAGTGGGACCTCCAAATTAATAATAAATTGCGCGCTATAAAAATTGATTTAGATCCATTGCCTGTGCTACGTAATCGTAGGGCAGACGTCAAACTTACTCGTCTTCGAATTGGCTACACTCGATTGACCCACCTTCACTTGCTGTTTGATGAACCTCACTGCAATACTTGCAACGTTTTACTCACAATCCATCACATTTTAATTTATTGCCCATGTTTTAACCGTCATCGTTTAACCTTTTTTGGTAGTTCCATTTTAACACTGCAGGATTTGTTAGGTGACTGCCATCATCCTAACATTTTTGCGTTTCTACGCGCAATTGGGCTCTTATACTGTATATAACTGTTTTTATCCTATTTACAATTTTATGTGATTTTATTCAGCTTTGAATGCAACTGTTTTATGATACTTAACTACATTTAAATTTTATCTTGTTTTACTCACTCTTGAATGCGTTGGTTTCGTTGTATTCAGTTTTATAAAATCCGTGTGATTTTGATGGGAAAAACTTGTAGTATACATCTACCTAGGATTTTATTTTAAAACCGTTCGTTTGGCGCAGCATGTCCTTCTGTGGACTTTGTGCCATTAAACCCAACATTCAATTCAAATAAATCTTTCATTTTTTTAAAAGTAAACTCATTTTTATGATTTAAAATTAAAAGCGAATTTAAGCAGAAAGCATAATTGTTTATTTATTAGTAATATATATAAATTATAGCAGTTCTATATAAATAGTTCTATTATTCATAATTTTTTAATTTGCTTTTACATAAAATTATGTGTGTAAGGGTCATTTTTATTGACGGTAAATTTTATTCATCCATCCGATTTTCTCGACGCCAACGCAAGTGACACTGCACCGAGAAAATGACGCTAAATAAAATTAAAATTGCTTGCGAAAAAATCATGTACAACTACTACAATAACAAATTATTTTACTGTAGTAGTTGAAAGCTAACCTTTTATTCAAAATTTAAAAACCAAATTCAGTATTTTTCATAAATAAATTATTTTTATAGTCTTTATTAAACATGTTAAAAATGCGTTTGAAATATTAAAAAAAAAGTTTGAGTAAGAAATTGAAATTACAGTTGTTTCGAATTAGCTTCTTTTATTAGAATTGACAAAAATTTCTTCATATTTTTTAAAAATCATATATTTTTAATTAAAAACTGTGGAGTATTAAAATAATAAAATATTTAAAAATTCTGAAATATTGTAGAAATATTTTTATCAAATTGAGGCAAATTGAACTATTGCATCAAGCTACCTAAATTTTCCACATAAGGAGAGTAATCACGCCTGAAACTATTTTTTTACAAATTACTTCCTTTTAGATTCAAACAAAGAAATCCTGTCTTTTTTTATATATATATTCATTTTTTTACGACGCAATGAGTCTTATTTAGACATCATACCGTGATTGTTCCAAGAGCTCGAATACATTTCCTCTTAAATCTGAAAAATAGTCTTAAATTTACTCGTAAATATTTTTGTTTAATTTGATTTATTTTGAAAAAAGAAATGAAAAAAATACTCTGACATTTCGAGAGAAGTAACCACCAAAAACCTTTTATTAGTAATCTTATTAAAATTATTGAAACATCTATTGCTTAAGTTAGGAGTTCCCTTGTCTTCTGCGTTGTGTTCAAAATCGCAAAGCTACGGAATTGAACATAGAGTCGTAATCCCCAAAATGGGTCATCTTCAACTTCGGGTATCAACCTCTGAGGGTACTGAATTAGAGATTGATCGTTCTCTGTTTCAGATTAAAATTACAATCTGTGGGTGGATGAATTGATCCTCCTGGTATAACGGGCTGTGACGTGTGTGTGGCATAAGTAGCATTCTTGGCTATAGATGGTGCCACTGAAAAACAAGAAGCGCGTCTTCTGCCTTAAGAACCGCTTGGATGCCCATAGCAAGCGGCATTAGAAACAACAAGCTGTTAATTTTTTTATAAATTAAATCTTATAAAAATTAAAGGAAGTTATCAAGAGAACAGATTTTATGCGTGCCTAGAAAAAAGGGCTTACTGTTATCGAACTTACGCACGTTTAATTACGCAATTTATAAATTTTAAAAAAATTATTTATTTTTTCTTCCTTTTTTTGCGAAAACAATGGCGTTTTTCTAAGAATATCTGATAATATGACAATTTGTCTAATTTCCAAATTTTCAAACTCATTCTACATATGAGCATCAAGTTCTTTCACAATCACTATTTTCCCAATTCCTACAGAATCGATTAACGCTGTGACTTTTTCCTTCTTGGTTATAAGTTGCAACGGCCAGTTCCTTGGCTTTTAACTATATTCCTTAATAATTTTAAATTTCTATTCAACAGGCTGAAGAATCTAGAAAAAAATTTTTTTTAAAAATGTGTAGCTAAAATTCAAGCTATGAAGGCATTTTTTGAAGGAAAGAAAAAAGATTAAAGTTTGTTCTTATGGTTTTTAGTCGTGAGCATCAATTGCCATAAACTCTTGCAACACCATATTTAATTCATATTATAATTAATTGTTTATTTCTAAACATACCGCGTAACATATATTTATTTATATGTTACGCGTGAATTTATTTATTTATTATAATGCATTGTTATTGTTTGAAAAATCATGAAAATAGTTCTCGAAACGAGTTACATTATTCAAAAAACTTCTTAGAGGTCGATTATTGCTTAACCTCCCGAGTAAGGTGTGGTCTTTAAGTTAAAATGACTAAACACATCCCTAAATATGACCTTTTAATAGAGTAAAAATCAGTTTTTTTTTTTCCACTTCATTATAAACTCGCTTGAAAGTGAGTAATCTACCGTGCAATAAAAAAATCAACGCTACAAAAAAAAAATTGATATTTTTATTAATAATGAATATTTTGATATTTTCGTATACTGCAACTACCTATAGCAAAAAAAAAATTCAAAAATAAATTTTGTTTTAACAGTTTTTTTGGATTTTTACTTTAGCGTTCATAGCATAGAAAAAGTCATACAAGGAAGACATCTAACTCATTTGAAGTTAAGCAAAAAATATTATATAAACTTTCATTCAAAACTACAGGAAATATTATACGTAAATAATATTTTATGAAAACATGTATATATATTCAATTTGTAATTATCTTTTTTTTATTATAAGGTAAAATTACTAGCAAAAATAATATTATTATCATTTTGAGATTTTCTTTCTAAGCAATGTATTAAAATCTCTATTTTACTTCCTTTAAAGATGGAAAAATCCGTTTCTGGTCCAACAGTTGTTCTACTTTGGGTATGGAATTGGTTCGCAACTTTACCAAAAACTGTAACTAATATGTTTGCCGACTTTAAGGTACAGTATTTATTTAGTTTACTCTTAACAATTTTTTTAAATTATTATTTACAGTTTGTTTGCTTTTTTTTTACTGACGGTTTTTTTTTCTCTGTTTCACGATACTCTTAGTAGATATGAAAATAATTCATAACTATATTTCTATTAACTCCATTTCATATCTCTGACGATGTCTTGCAACCAATATTTTGATCACTTTTCAACTAGCTAGAGCACTCAAATCTCTACTGGAGCTTCATGTTCGATAAGTTTAAATCGTTTTCAGTATTTATCGCGATACGATTGTCAAAGGTATCGTCAATCTGATACTTGACCTCTTTAAAAACTATGTAGAGTAATAAAATTTTAACTAAAGCTGCATGACATGTGACATTTCAAACATCGATCGTTTTTTTTTTTTTTTTTTTTTTTTTTTTTTAAGATAAAACTTGGGGGCTCTGCTGGGAAAACTAGAGATCAGTGGACGGGGACATCACATATTTCACCATCAATAGGTCAAGCAAGAAACTGCTTGCTGACAAAAATATTTTACCTTTTTGAATTTAGGATAGAGCATTTATTAATTTTCAGCAATAAAAATTTTCTTTTGGGACGAAATTTTGAAGCAAAAAAACCGACAGAGAACTAAAACGTAGATATTTTCTAAATGAAAACGAAAATCGGTATTGAACAAGGCCGCATAGAAAGGAAGAGTTATTAGTTCAGGGTGCCACGGCATTCGTTTCGTGACGTCCCGCATCATGATCTATCTACGTTTCTTCACTTTCTATTTAGATTTTAGTGTGCTCTAAAGAGATTAATTCATCCATTAAATTTTAAGCTCTGCTTGAAAGGGAATCTTCTTTTCATCGAAAATATAATAGTTGAATTTCATTAAAGGAAAATTTATTTAGTTATTATTTCCAGTTATTTAGTTATTATTGCATATTTATAATTCAAAGTGTTCGCAAGCAGAGTAAGAAAAATTAAATCTTGATACATTTAAATAGTTCAACTATAAAAAAATCATGTTTTTATGCAAAACAAGTAACTAAATGTCTTTTTAAATATAGAAAATCAATTCACCTCAAAACTTGACTTGAAACCACTTACAAGTTTTAACAAGTTCTTTACAATTTAAAAAGAATTCATTTTTATAACTGATATTGTAAAAATATTTCAATTGATGTGCATTTAACAAAACGTGACTATTGCTTACGAGACTATTTTAAAATTCTATCACTAGAATTATTTTTATTTATCCTCATCATCCAGGATAATACCAATTAACAAAGCTACCATTGTTTTAATATGCAACATTTCTTTTTAACAAATCAATATTAGAGATTGATAATGACTGGACATATGACTGGATATTATTTATAAAACAATGATGTAAAATTTGTCTCTCCCAGGTCATGAAGTAAAGTGACTTTCGAAGATTTTATATATGATTTATAACACGTTAGAATCAACACCCAGACCGTTATGAGGCTTGGAACCATTCGCGTTTTGAAAACCTCTTCACACCATTCAGAACCGGTTTTTGTTCTGGGCCCATGTCCAAGAGGTTGTGAGTTCAATCCCCGCCGTCCGAAGACTAACCGTGTAGTAAATGGTGACTGGTGTACGTTAAAACTGTCGAGTCACAAAGTCCTCCATGTTTCCATTACAAATCATACCTCTGGGGTAGGGGAGAGTGGAGTCAATTGTAACATTTCTTACTTAACTATTTTTAACTAGCAAAAAATCCAACATATTATTAGTTTTAATTGACAGACGAGTAAAGTAGACTATCCTCTACTAGAAAAAAAAAATAAATACCTTATTTTAAATGTTATCATATTAGTTATTAACAATTTTTGACAGACGTGCACTTGTTACAATTGTCCCCACTTACGGGGTCAATTGTAACAGTTCATAAATCCAACTAAAACATAGTTAATTATACGTATTATCATAGTTGTGATATATTTTGTTATTGATCAAAATAGTAGTGATATTTTAGGAGTAAAAATAATAATGAGCAGAGGCCTAAAGGGTTAAACTTTTAACTTTAAGGGGTTAAAAAATTTAATTTATGCTGTGAAAGGTGACAAATAAAATAATGCACATGCAACGTAATATAAATGATAGAGGAAGCTATTGGTGGTTCTTAAAGAGTTAAGTAATGGTTTGTAAACATAAATTATTTATTTTCAACTGTTACAATCGTCCCTTTACTTATTGTATCAATCGTCCCCAAGACGCAATTTCAGGCNATATGACTGGATATTATTTATAAAACAATTATGTAAAATTTCTCTCTCCCAGGTCATGAAGTAAAGTGACTTTCGAAGATTTTATATATGATTTATAACACGTTAGAATCAACACAGCATATAACTAACACAAGACTAGCTGAAACATAGATTCGATGTATGACGTCAGAGCTGAAGATCACTATCAGTACCCACGCCTCCTCTTCAACGGGCCCCTGTTATGAAGCGTGCGAAGCTCGTTACCCAAACCGTTCTGAATCTTCGAACCATTCGCGTTTTGAAAACCTCTTCATACGCTTCAAAACCGGTTTTTGTTCTGGGCCCATGTCCAAGAGATTGTGAGTTCAATCCCCGCAGACAGAAGACTAGTCGTGTAGTAAATGGTGACTGATGCACGTTAAAACTGTCGACTCGCAAAAGTCCTCCATGTTTCCAAAACAAATCAATATCTCTGGGGGTACTGNAAATTTTTGCTCTGTTACAATCGTACCATGTTTCAATTGACCCCACTCTCCCCTACTGATCCAGGAGTTTTTTTTGTCTTCTGGATTGGTTCAAAATTACAGGGCTACGGAGCTAAACATTGATAGTCGTAAGCCCGAAATTGGGTCGGCTGTTTTACGACGGTTAATAAATAAAATATATATCCAGAGTCGTGGTGGCTCAAGAAGTAGAGCAATCCCTTTCCAATGAGGTGAACTGGATTCGTATCCTGGCGATAGCTGGTTGATTTGAATTCCGCACTCGGCACTGACCACAGAGCTGATGCAAACTATCCTTAGTGATAGACGGATTATGGGTTAGAGCTCCCTTGCCGTCAGACTAACCGTGGGAGGTTTCCGTAGTTTTTCTGTTCCTGTAATGCAAATGCTGATTAGTTCTGTAAAAAAAAGTCCTCCACGAAGGCAAATTTCTTCCGATACTTGGTTCAGGAGTTCCTTGTCTTTTGGATTGGGTTTTAAATTAAAAGGCTTCGAAGTTGAACATCGTAAACCCAAAAATTGGTTCGGCTGTTCAACAACGATTATGAAATAAAATGTATTCAGAGCAATAGCGAAGCAGTATGATGAGTAAAAGATTAAAGTTTTGGTTTTAAGCACGGTTAACAGTTAACTTAGCTACGTCACTGAATAAAAATTTGACTAGTTTTCCATTATTTCCTAAAGGGCGCAAACAAAGTTGATTTCCATTCGAAATTTTGACCATTTTCCCAAATGAGCAAGATGGAGAACAAATCGATAGAATTATTTTATAAGCCTTTTATATCTTTTTTGCGAATTACTTCACCTTCATCTGTTTACACTATATGTTTAGAATGTAGAAAATATAGACTGTTAATATTAGTGTTTTTTTCCTATTTAATGTTAAAAAAAAATTTTAGAACATTAAAATTTATTTTATGCTATCTCTTTTCAGAGTGGAGAATTCCTTTCCAAATTTTCAATGCTAGATGCTATGATGCAATTTTTGGTTGCTGTTGCAACTTCTTGTCACCCTCAAGGTAATTCATATACTCAGAAATTTTTTAATTTGTACAAATAAACACAGGATAAAAAAATTTTGACGAAAGTGTATATACAGTTAGCATTAAAAAAAGCTTAAAAATGGTGACTTCAAATATGCTAATTATGTAGTGTAGTTCAGAACGTGTGAAATATCCCTTCGTCATTGGCGCCACTGGCGATTGAGTTCTGCCTTATAAAATGTTGTTTCAAATCAAACTACCGTATTTTTCCTGGACTTTTGAGTATTCAGTTAATAAAATTTATAAATTCGGTGTAATATTTTCAGACTTTAAAAGAGAGGTTAATAAAATGTGCATCACAAAAATACTACAACGTATCTCATCAAATGTGTTAAAATTTTGGCGTATTTTTGATGCCTCGGACTGGCTTTCCAAGGGAAAAAATTCTTGAATTTGGGATGAGGTAGATAAAAAAGAAAAGAAAACGACATGCATTTAAACCCAAATCTATAACAAACAGGTGGATGTTAAACAAAATGTTTTAAACATTAAAAGTGTTTTAAGCAAGTGAATGTTGTGTTAGAAGAGTAAGCGAAATTCAAGTTTATATTCACTTCACTAATATTCATTGGAAAAGTTTGAGTATTTATGTGAGAACATTGATAAGTTTAATAGTGTTATGTTTCGGGTTTTCCCAGAGATAGTCGCCAGATTATAAAATTTTTGTGCTACTCTACCAGTGATCACAGCTTCCTGTAGGAGAGGCTTCAGCTGTCACAATAAATTGAAGACGGCTTTTGGAAACTCTTTGAAGACACTTGAAGATTTGCTCACAATTTACAAATAGCCTGGTCCTGCCATCTGGAGCATATATTGAGAAGTAAACATGATGCCCGGTGTGAGAAATAGATTGTTTTAGTTTTTTTGGCATGTTACTTTTGAACACTCTGGCAAGGAAATATCACGGGCATGAGAAATGGAGGGGAAAAGATAGGGTTTAATTAACATTTTTGTGCATTTTGCATAATATCTGGAATTTTTATAAGTGAATCTAAAAAATTTTGCGCACAATTATGTAATTCATTTATTCAAAAATAAAGTTAAAATAATTTTTTTTATAATTTTTTATTGTTTTATTAAATAATAATTAATATTTCGAATTCTAAGATAGACAAATTTTAATACCTTTTTAAGCTATGCCAGTTTAGGTAACAAAATGCAAAATTTAAGCGAAATAGAGTCATAAAATATCTACAAAAAAAATTATATCGAAACCGTAAATACTCAAGACAAAGATGCCAACTACTCCTGATTCAAAAAAATATTTTGTTGGTTGTTGAAACATGACTTTTATTTATGTTAGCAACTGTTCTTTCGATTCTATTTCGAGTTAACCAAGCCCATCAAGTATCATTTCTCTTAAATGGCACATTCTATATTCTTTCACAAAGATTTCAATTCTTTCACTATTTATTTCTTACTTAGAACAAAGACAGAAGCGAAGTCATATAGAACATAAACAAATTAATTATGCATCGAAGTTATCAGACTCACAAAGCAAAAATAATCTGAGTACAATAAAATATCTAAACAAATAATAAATCTAAGTAAAAGACGTAGACAAGAAAAAAATTTTATCTTAACAAATCCGACTTGGGATACGGCATTATATTTAATTAACTTCATGTTACATAATTCTAATTTATGTGGAGAGATTTATTTCGACTCGCCATCTTATAGACCAGTGGTGCGCAAACTAGGGGTCGCGACCCCTGTGGGGGTCGCCAGAAGTTTTTTGGGGGTCGCCAATTTTTTATGAAATGCATTATCCCTGCATGCTGCATACTATACAGTGTACATATAAAGAGTGAAGCGCCGCCACTAACTGTTTAATCGCAATTTCATGCTGTCTACTCTTTCTTTGACCGTAATGCGTAATGTATTCTCTATCTGGCTATCCGTGGAAAAACAATATCCCGTTTTATGCAAGAATGCCATCAGAGTGTTAATACAATTTGCATCAATGTATTTATGTGAAACTGGATTTAGCAAACTAGTTTCAATAAAAACTAAATACCGCTCGCGTTTAAACCCTGAAGATGGTATGCGAATTGCAATTAGTAACATACATCCAAACATCGATGAGATAATTAGAAACTTGCAGCCACATACATCTCATTAAAGGGCAATTACTGATTTTTGAGTTATACAAAAAGTATTTTCTTAAAATTATAAATAAAAATTAATATGAGTTAAATATGATGATGTTTTTATTCGATGAAACGAAAGAAATGCGCGAAATATACATCGTATTTGTGAACATTTATCTCTAGGGGTCGCCGAAAATTTTCTCTCTACAGAAGGGGTCGCAGTCGAAAAAAGTTTGCGCACCACTGTTATAGACGATCAGTGGGCGCAGAGATCGTAGATCACGTGATGTGTCTGTGTATCAGTGATCTTCTTCTCGAATTGCAAATACCAAATTTTTAACTCACCGAAGTTAATATTATGCCAAACAACTTTTTTGCACAAAAAAGAAAACTATTTTAATGAATAAACATGTCAAAAATCTACAAGTCTTACTTTTGTCACTATCGAATGGCTCATGTGCATTTAAAAAAAAACATGTCTTTTTTTCATTAAAATAGAAACAGTGCTTTAAAATTTAAAAATCTTGTTTAAAAGAAAAGAGGAAAGTACTATAAGTAGGAAAAAACTGCTCCGCTTTCATTAAAACAATGCAAAACATAAATTTTACAGTAAAACTCTTATTTTTTTAACTGAACAAAAATAATAAAATCCTAAATATTTCATCGTTTTCAGAAATTCTAATTTTCTAAAGTCACGCCGTTGGAATTTCTGTTGAATCATTTAACTTGAATAAGTAGTTTTTGATCATTATTTGCATTGTGATTAAGCAGAAAAAGTAACTTTGAGAAAAACATATTGATGTGAGGATTTGATAACACTAAACCAAAAAGAACGATTTTCGATAAATTCATAATGCGATCGGGAAAAAAAATACACGAAAGAAAGCTCTGATGATCAAAATTCTCTAAGTCATTCAATAACTCTTGAATAATAATACATTCCTACTACATAGATTTCTAGAGTTTTTAATTTGTTAAAAAAAGTTTTTATAATCTTCAAATCTTTTGATTTATTCAATATTTAATTAGTTATTACATAATACAAAGAATTCTTTACCGTAGCTTATAATTGTTTAATTACTTTCACAAGGATTTTTCTTAACTCTTTTGACGTTGTTACGTTTGTTGAAATTATAATACGTTTCTAAAACAGAATCATCGCGAATTTCAGAATTTTAACCTGTTTAATAGTTTATCTGTTATTATTGCTACTGTTTAAATTCATTACATACTTTTGTTAATTTTTTACATTTTAGTATGATAGTTCGAAACAATTCGAAAAATTTTACGGAGAATTCGAAAAGTTTTTATATAGTTACTTTTTTTTTCATTTGTTATAAAAGCAAATTTTTTTAAAACCCTTGAATCTTTGATCAGTTCTCTTTATACGTTGTACAAAACTTTTTTAACGTTCTTACATTTCTTGAAATTTTAATGTTTCTAAACGGAAATTTTTATGAATTTCAGAATTTTAACCTGTTCAATAGCTTATCAATTATTATCGCTACTATTTGAGTTCATTGCATATTTTTGTTAATTTTTTAAAAATTTTCTATAATAGTTCGAAATAATATTTTTTTCGCTTTTAATTTGCTAGAAAAAGGCCTAATTTTTTTTAATCCTCATAATTTTTGGCCTATTCAAATGTTTAATGTTTGAATTCTTTGCATTTGGACAATTTCCTTTTATATATTTTTTAATTCATTTTTGCTTTTCTTTTATTTATTTATTTGGTAAAGTTAGATTGTAGTTACCGTGACACGTCTTTAAACCGTTCTTTTTCTTTTACAGAAGATGGATTTGATGGAGAAGAAGTAAGACTTTTTTTTCTTATCTTTAATATGTCACGATTAAAAGCTTATTCTTAAGTCACTTCCTTCTCATAGTTATAGTTACTCCGAGTTTTCCTTATTTGCCTCTAGTTTTAGTTCTGAAGTCTCGTAATAATTTTAATCTCTCTTCTTTTAAAATATACTTAGTACTATTGCTTGTATTTGAGGTTTAATAAAAACGTTTTCCTTACACTGTCTTTTAAATTTACTGCATGCTCTAATTGTTGTAATTTTTTTTAATATATATTGCTTAAACATTTCTACCAGGAAAAGGTAGTCTATGTGCATGCTATTCATATTGTAAATGTGATAATGCTGAGTTGCTAACTATAAATTTAAATTAATCACGTGATATTCTTCTTTTTGAAATATTCTTTTTCTTGATTTATTTTTCTTCTTGAATAAAAATTATATACATATATATAAGCTAAAAGTACTAAGAAAACATGGAAAAAAATATATAAATTTTTTAAAGAGAAAAAGAAAAATTATTAAATGAAGTATTTTTAAAAATATTTAAAAATTAATTTCAAACCCGGATTGCAAAATAAGGAATAATCTCGTTATATTGCTCACACGTTAGCATCCGCAGAAAAAAAAAATACCGCTTTAATAGGTGCCCTCTTTTTTTTTTTTTTTTNTTTGTTTCTTCTTTTTTTTTTTTTTCTTTTGTTTTTTTTTACGGGCATATTCGTGTGAGCTTATAAAGAGGTTATATATTTTCCTCATTTTGTTTTCCGGCTTTTAAATTCCAATTTTTTTAAATTTTTCAATTATTTTTAAAAATATTTTATTGAGTAATTTTTCTTTAAAAACTTTTTTTATTGAACTTTTTTCTTTAAAAAATTATTTTTAACTTATTTTATGGGTTTTATGTACTTGCAGCTTATGCGCAGTAAATAAAACTATTAACTTATCTTTCTTCGTTAATCACTATTTTCTTTTATTCTTTTTTTGTCTTTATTGTATTTCATATCACGAAATAATTACAAAATTGTACCCTTCGTTTGCCTAAAAAGTTTTAAAACATTTATTTAATTGTGCAAAAATTGTTTTGGAGGTAAATTTAAAAAAAAAAATTAAAGTAAAATCTTTTTTACTGTGCGTGTTGAATTGTATGTTTTAAAGATTAATAACGACTGATTTTATAATACATATTTCCTTTCAAAATTTAGGTAAAAAGTGAAAAATCAACACCCATTAAAGCTGCTAACGGTGGAGATCTTAAAATTTTTGCAGGTAAAATTTTATTTTCTCTTGAATTAAATTGTTTGTATTCCAATGTTAAATCTTTGCTTATTGCATTGGATGAAATAATGGACTAAACCGCAAAATTGTCATTTTTGCGGGTTTTAAAAATTTATTTTCTTCCGATTGGCTTAAGAATTTAGCAGCCTATATTTTAATGATGTAGTTTACGTCATTGGTTGTGAGTACTTTGACAATTTTTATTTTTAAAAAAAGTGGCCTAGTGAATGAAAAATGCTCTAAAATACTTACCTTTCAGTTGATTTAAAACTCAGTTTTTTTATAATCAAACGTATTCGAACAGTTTTACATTTTTTTTTTAAGAATCCATTATATAATTATTATATTGATAGCTGATGTTTTTTTATACTGCTTATTGCCATATTTACTATTTTTTAATGATTAATTTTGATAATAGTTTTAGGGATTCAGTTACCAAAAGAACCGATCTGGAAGTTTGTTGAAAATTGAATCGTTGAAAATTTGTTATTTTTTAACTCTTTCCGGAACAGCAAATTGAAAATTTTAGGCAAGACATTGGCAAGTGCGACTTAGTATATTCTAAATGAAGCAATGAACTATTGCTCTTTTTTGCTTTAAGAATAGTGGTTGCTAAACCTTTAAAAGCAATTAGTTTTACATTTCTAGTGGTTTGTAGCATTTGTCGAATTAGCATTGCCAGACCGACTACGCAGCATCGAAATCCCCTCGCATTCCTCATCATCGCAAATTCTCTTTCGCCACCTTCATTACTAATTTAAAAGTTAAAAAAGAAAAAAAAAGGAAAAAGTGAGTTCAAGCAAAATCTAGAGCAAGCAATAAGTTTCAATTTCTGAAAAAAGAAGAAAAAAAATGTTTTTCAATATATAAAAATGAATTGAATAAATTAAAAAATGAATATATGAAAATGAAACTATTGAAAGAGAACTTCTCCATCACGTGGTCCTAAATTATTTTCTTATTTATTTTCATTTTGATATTTTAAAATTTTCTTTTCAGTATTTGAAACTTACCTTAGGTTTATCGGAACTCACTTTTTCTATGCTTTAAATTTTAACTTAGTTACTGAGGTAAAAGAGAATTTGGGACGAAAAATTTCTTTCACGGTAGGACGTCCTCTTAGGAGTGGTCACTGCAGGAAAAAAAAAAAACATTCTCGCAACATCATGGTGTGAGCCGGGGGGGCCATGGAGGTTAAAGCTCCACAATTTCGTGACCAACAGCATGATTGTGACAATGTGGTCGGCACTGCTCTCAGACCGCCTTAACTTCCTAGACCAGCTGGTATCCATCGATCTAAAGCTGGGTAGGCTGCAAGCCGCCACTTGGGATCGAACCCCAGTTCCTCACAATGACAGGTCAGTGTCATAGTGACTGAGCCATCGCGGCTCATTGCGGAAAATTGTGTATAAATTTGTCGCTTATAAACGACGATCGTTCCAAGCAAGAACTCGGACATAAGCAAATAACCTTCATTTCCCTTAATGCCAAGACAATTTATTAGTTCGCAAAAAAATAATAATAATTACGTTTTTTATTTAATTTTTATTAATAAATTGTTTTAATTATTAAACTTTATCTTTTCAGGCCCTGGAAGAACATTACGGCCCAGAACTGTAGCAGCAGAATCCTAATTTTTGTATTTATTTTCAACTGTGATAATCATCCCTACATATATATTGTTTATATTGTTAAAAATGTTGTTAGAATTTATCTTGGAAATGTCACATGTCACGTTAGCAACAACTTTTTCCTCCATTTCACTAGAAATTTATGTATTTAGAATATTTCCTTTTTTTTTAGTACATAAAACAATTCACCCTTAATAAGTAAAAGCTTTCAATTGAACATGTTGAACATTTAAAAGTATGTTAGTAGTCTAATTTTTATGCTGACATTAAATTTTTTAAAAAAAAGTTTTATTTTTAATATAATTCAGACTTTAACTGTACCGTCTAGTGATATTTATGTGAGATGCAATATTATTGTAGTTTGAACCATTGAGTTCGTTTTTTTTTTAAAAAAATTTATGGAGAATTATACTTTTTAACTTAATTAGAATAATGTAGTTAAAATTGAATTAGTTCGTAATTTATTCCACTTTTTGGCCATATTTCTTTAGACACCTTTCATGCGTGCCTTTTATATCGTCCATCAAAGAAGGTGCTTATAAAATTTCTTCAGACCAAATATGGTAGCAAATAAACTTTCGTTTATTTAGATTAAATCTTTGTTTGAAAAGCATTTAGAATGTTAGAGGACATGAAAAGCACTTTGGCTTTTATGTTTGGTTTTTCATCTGTGTTGTAGCATTTTTTTTCTACTATATGGATATTTTGTACATTAAAAGTAATGTTTGAAATTATGATTGCATTTTTTATTTCATTTCTTTATATGCCAAATTGTATGCTTTCTCCAAAAATAATTTATCCTGTATATATGTTGAGTAGTAAATTACCCAGAAGTAGCTGAATGGCAACAAACAGAAAGTTTAAGTGAGTGAAAAAGTTACAGCACTTAATAATTTCTTCTGATTATTATCTGTACTCTTACATTGTTATTTCCCATCACTACACAGAATTATAAGTTTTTAACAATTTTACTGTGAGTTAAATTTAGATGTCAGAGCTTAAAGTTTAGATCTGTGTTATGCTTCCACTTTTCGAGAACTGTCCAATAATAAGCAATGTTTATTGTTATTGATATTTCAAACAATGTAATACAAATATTTCTTGTAATATAGTAAAAATGTAAAGTGCGCAAAGAAAAAAACATTTTGAATAACTTTTCATCTAATGAGTGGATCTTCTTGTTCTAGAACCTAATCTTAATGGATTAAAAGGATGACTTCAAATACACTGATTATTTAGAGCAGACGATATTTTAAGACGAAATAGTAGCAAAAAAGTACTTTATCTGAATAAACATGCCATTTTTTCGACGGATTTGGATTTCTGACCCCCAAAATAAAAGGGATAGCTGAAATCTGGGAAATATGGTCTTAATAGTTTGGTCAGAAAAGTGGTCCAAAGTTTGGATCCTTTAATTTTATTTTTTGCGTATTTCGCCATCTATCGAAAACTCTTTAAACTAATTGAAATTTTTTGCACAGAATTAGGAAATTCATTTGCAAAAGGCAAAGATGTATTCATTTATCCGTGCAAAAAAACAAATTCTAGTAGGAAAAAAAAAACATTTTTTATTCGATTTAAAAATAATCGAAAGAATTTTAAATCTTAAGGTCTACAATTTTAACATTTTAAAGACTATTTTACAGGGAAAAATACAAAATTTGAACAAAATCGATCTAACAGTTTCTGAGTAATCGAGTTTTAAATATACTTTTTTTTTAAATTAGATTTCTCGGGAACTATTTGATTTCGCTCAAATTTCGTACTTTTAATGGTGATATGATAAATAATTAAACACTTTTTTGCGGACAAATACAGAGTGGCCAGTGAAAACCGTCCCTGATATATATTTCACGAATCATCATCAAAAGTGAGAGAGAATAAAAATCAAGCATGCATGTCCCAAATTAAAATTTAAGCACAGGAAGAAAAAAAAAACGAAACCGCTTTTAAAATATGACAAATCACAATGCAGAGAGCAGCAGATCAAGTTGATTAAGATTGGGGTGATTAAATTGTAAAACTCCAAATATTGTTTAGCATTAAAAAGGTGAGGACGTAGCCTTTAATGTAATTAAATTAAACGTTAAATAAATTTTAGGATAAGAGTGTGAGATGCACGCTCGAAAAAAAAAATCAGCATTCTCAAGTGTTAGTGAGTATAGGCAGGCACCCTCTATAGATTTTTGAAGAAAAAAATTTAACTTTTCACACATAAAAGTTACGTATCCATTAAATTTATGGAAGTCTTTCAAATTTCCACGATGCTACGTGAGAAAAAAATTTCAAGTTTAATTCAAACAACGAATTATCTGAAGTCATCAATCAACGAATCATCAAAAAATTAATTTCATTTCATCTGATTAGATGCTAGTTTTATTTTATTTATTGATTGGATTGATTAGGCATAAAGTTTTGTTTACTATACCTCTATCCACTTCATTGTTCACTTTTCAAGTTTAACAAATAAATGAATTTTAAATAAGTTTATCAAATGTTATGATTAAGATTTTTTTTTATTTTGTACTACTGTATAATTATTACTGTTTAATTTTGTACTAAAGCGTTATTCCCAAAATATTTAATTTCTATCCAACACATTCGACGAGTTTTGACGATCGCCAAATTATTTGTTATTCAATTCGTCTTACAATGAAAAATATATCTTTATCATGACTGCGTATTGATAATTTTTTACACATTTATTTATATCAAATGGTTCATTATTTATTAGCTACAATAAAGCATGCCCACTACAGCCCATTGAGGGCCAGGGGGTTCATGGAGGTTAAGGCACAGAGATCGCGTTTACTTCTACACTAGTGTGAAAAAATTAAGGACGAAGTGGTTTTTCGAGTGTAAGTTTAAACAGCAGTGTTGGAAATCGATAAAAATCATACCATAGGATCCTCAAAATGTAAGAATATAAGAAAGTAAGCAACTTGCTGAAAAATTTAATCCACAAGAACTTTATTGAAATATAGGCTTAAAACACAATTGTATAAATGACCAATGTTATACGGGATTGGCAAGGAAATTCCAACTTTTAGTATGAGATATGGTCACCTCTGACTGCTATGCAAGATTGACATCGTTAGCCCAGGTTGTTAACGAAGCTCTTGAGGAATTGCTGCCCATTCCTATTGTAGTGCTAATCGCAGCTGCGGAATAGTTGTTGCCGGCTTGGGACGTGCTGCGAAGCGTCTTCCTAGAGTGTCCCACGTGTGTTCAAATGGATTTAAATCCGGGTATCTCGCCGGCCATTCCATGCGTGCAATATCTTCTCTCTCCGACAGTTCTGTGACAGCCACGGTACGATGAGGTGTAGCATTATCGACTATGAACTCAGAACCCACAGTACCTCTAAAAAGACGTACAATAGGAAGAAGAACCTCGGTACAATAGCTGGCACCAGTGACTGAACCAAGTTGGAAAATGTGTAGATCAGTACGGGTACCAAGCATGATACCCATACAAGAACTCCGCCTCTTCCAAATGGGTCTCTTTCGATGATTTAAGAGGGGTTATTATGTATTCCTCGCTCTTTCCAGATGTGTATGCGTTCAGAATTACTGCTCAGACTTAATCTGTTCTCATCCGTAACTAAAGAGTACTCCATCCCATTGCTCATCTGTCGAGTCGTTGTGTGTCTTTGTGCTTATCTGTCGAGTCCACATTAAACGGAGTCTCCGGTGAACTGGCGTTAATGGAACACATCGTACTGGCCACCGTGCAAATCAACCACCTTTTTTCAGTCTTCTGGCCATGGTAAAACGCGATATCGGGCATCTAGTACTTAGCTGTGTGTGCCTAGTGATTTTTCTTGCTGTCAGTTATATGTTCCTTTAGGACTATATACCGGTCGTCTGCTGCCCTGGTTGTGCTAGGACGAATTCTACTAAAACTTCCGGACAGCTGTACCTGTCCTCTGAAATGTGTTCCAAACTCGTGAAACGATACTGTGGACAAACCCGAACTCCGCAGTCACACTGGTCACACTTCGACCTTCTTCCAACTTCCCAATGATTCGTCCTCACGTAAACTCATCCATATGTCGTCTTCTGTGTTGTCTGTTGTCCATATCACACAGTGACAACAAATTCACTTCGTTTAAACTGATATATACCGTGCAATACCATTCACATAAATACTAAGCTTCCTCTGCCAGCTCGTTTGATTTCCTTACAACAAGCCCCTCTACTTTACCTTACCTGACTTCGCTAGTTTTTCCATTTCGTCCTTGATTTTTGCATATCAGTCTATTACAAGCTGGCACCTATCGATTTGAAACTGAGTGGGCGCCACGGAAGGCTGGTGATCGAACCCCAGTTTACCGCAACAGTTCCACATTGATTAACCTCTGAGCAATCACGGTTCATTGACTAAAATAATTAAGCATGAAATTGTGAAATTAGTAATATATTGGTGGGAAAAAATTAACTTATTGGGGAAATATTAGCAACAAAATATTATTATTATTATTGAAGCAAATGAATGCACAACGCGAACGGGGCAGAATATCTTAACTGTTTCGGTTTGAATGTTTATGTTTGCCTCATGAGTAAGGTGATTCTCGAAGCAAGGAGTTAGGTTCAATAAGTTCGATCACGTAACGAACTCTTCTTTATGTATGTTTGAGGAATGGAAAACTTCTTCGTACGTTTAAAAAAGACTTTATGAGGACGCTTTGGCTTAGTTATCGGTTAGCAGTTAACTTAGCTGCGTTGTAAAATGAAAATTCGACTAGTTGTCTATTACATACTTATTTGCTCGGCTTCCCAGAAATATAAGTTCGCAGCTCCCCTGCTCAGATTTGTATTTGTTCAATTCGCATGAGAGACCATTTTCAAATTGGGTGTGATTCTTTCAGTGGCGCAAAAAACAACTTCGCGGTGCGGGGGTGCGCACGATCACAATCTGTGGAAGACCTGAACATAATAAAAAAAAGTTATCATTTTTTTTTTTTTAAATAACCGGAAAATTTGAATTATACTTTCTGTCTGTAAGCATTATTTCTCGATCGTTTCTCTAAATACGTTTACCTAAGTGTATCTTGTTACTTTGTTTTGACTTATACTCGTTTTTCCAAGTATTATATCTATATTTTTTCTAATTTATTTCATTTTATAACCGTCCATAAATATCCGACTTAATTTTAGATATACGACTACTAATGTTCAACTTCGTAGCCTTATAATTTTGAACCCAATCCAGAAGACAAGAGAACTCTTTGAGCAAGTAACGGGAGACATTTGCCTTCGTGAAGAACTATTTTATGGAACTAACCCACATTATATGCGGGCACATATATCCAAGAAATAGTATGCTTCGCAAATAGTCAGCTGTTTTGCATCGAATAATTTTAAACAGCAAAATGCTTTTAATTTTTTAACAAGATTTAATTCTCAGTAAGCTGGCAGATATTCTAAGTTTTCTTTCAAAAAGTAATTTTACTTTAAAGGAAAATCTAAATTAAAATACTAAAAAAAAAAGTTTTTCTATATTAATTAAAAAATAATATGTGTGATAGCGTAAAGAAAACAATTTTGAGAAATGTTAAAATACAATTAAATAGTTGATAAAATAGTTCTGCGAAACACGCGTGGTCAAGTAATTAAAGAATTTATTTTAAGATTAAGACGATATATAAGATGTTGAGAAATTTCAAGATGTTTAAAAATTTTGACTACGCATTCGTAATAATAATTATAAAATATATATTGAAGAAATTGATAAATATATTATTTCGAATTCATGTATACGTGTGTATATTATTAAAATTGCATCAATTATTGAAAGAACAAACAATAAAATAAAATTAATAAAAGCTGATATATAATCACATTATATTCGGTATTTTTAAACGAATAATTTTGTTTTTAATAAAAGAAATAAATTACATAATTACTAAGCGCAAATGATGAATTAATGATATTAAATAATTATGGTGAGCTTGAAGTGAAAATTTATTTTAGCTATTTAGAGATTTATTGTTAAAGAGATGACATGGTTGCTAGATTTAGAAAGAACTCTCTTCATTGGCAGTTCTGATTTGGCCTCTTTTTACTTGTTTATTACTATTTGTTCTTGGTGCAAGCCGTGCACCATCATACGTTAGCATATTGTTCGAGCAGGTAGATTTAGTTTATTTTACAAATTATCATTCAAGTCTACATTTCGAAGTTGGTATATTGTTAACAGGGTAAGAAGTGTTTTATAACGATTATCTTTTCAAATGAAAGGAAGGAATGAAGGTCTTGAAATGAAAGGTTTTCAAATAATGATTCTTATAACGATTATTTTTTTACGCACAAATAATAAATCACGTAACGAATACAAGGAGTACTATTCAAGAGTGTCTCAAAGCACGGTGATCACGTTGTGAGCCAAACTGCTTCAAAACACATCAAAAACATTAATTAGAAAGTATCGGCAGAGCTTGTAGCACTCTTTAGTGAGAAAATACCATCCACGTGATTGTACGAAACTCTTAGGAAGCATTTATGGTAGAGCCCCTGAATTAGACTATCCTAGTATAGTAGCCTTAGTTTATGCGATTATCCTAGACGAGCATGCAAATGTTTAGAAATGACATTCAAAACGTGCCACTCGTGCATGCGTGAATCGCATTGACGTACGATCGCATATGCGAATCGTATACAGTAGGAATGCTACGTCGGGGTGAACGCGATTGAGCTGATATGAAAATTTGATTAGAGAGAAACTCTCTCCCGCAAAAAGCTCTAGAATCACGTTCTTCTATTTTTTCGATGGTGATTGGAGGTGCGACAATTGTGAGAATGCTTATTTATCTGTGGCTTCCAAAGAATCGCACACACGTCTTGGATCTTTGAATGCAGTGAAGGTCCAAATTCTTCTTCTCACGTGCAGTGAAAACGGCCTTCTTTTCGATGGGCCACCGCTGAAATAAAACTTCCAGGGGGTCTCATCCAAATCGATTAATCGCTATCTTTGTTTTAGTTATTACATGTGGTCTCTGTTGTTAAAGTAATGTAGCCGGTGTTTACATAGTTAAGAAAATTAGTTATTATATATTATTATAAATATGCAGGCTTCTGACGTTTTAGGAATGGATCCAGGTTAACTTTATTTTACATTATTTGTATTTTATATTGTAATATATGTATCTGATAACTTGCCTATACGACAATCAACTTATTCCCACGTTGATGTCCTTAAAGGTTTTAATATCTTAAAATATATCAATAAAAATTTACAATCAATGTAATTGCCTTTTCTACTTTTAATTTGCATGTAAAATTGCATTCATTCTTAGATCGTGTTTACTCTTTCCTTCATGAATTTTCGAATGTTTATTATGCATAGCTCCATTTTTTTCACATTTTATTTTAGATTTAATAAACATGCTATAACTATTAAATATGTAAAATATTTATTTTTACATGTTATATAACTTATGTCTCTAAAATAAAGAAAATGCTTTTATGAAATAAGCAAATCCAATCGTGCATTTGATTTTTTTCTGAAACGGAACTTAAAGTTTTATGAGATGTTTGAGACAATAAGATGAGCTGAACAGCTTTTAAAAGCGTTAGACTAGATGGTTGCAAAAATTATTCATTTTCAACAGTTAGTTGGTACAATTAAAATAAACTCCATTTACAAAGAATTACTTCAAAACTAATTTGAAATTTAGATGTGCTGTTCAATATGCGTGACAAAAAAAAAAAGAATGAAAATTTTTCACTCCAAATATGAATGCTTGTTCTAATGAGATTTTCCCTCAGCATATCAGGTCAGGGAAAGCCTGAAATTGTCAGAAAATTTTATTTTAACTCTGAAAATCAGGGAACCTTGAAATTTTTTTTAAAAAAATCTAGTAAATTCCTGTATAATACCTGGAAAATAACCAGTCTTAGATTTGTATGTAATAGTAATAAGTTATTGATATTGAGTTAATTAATTCTATTGTAATTATTTTTTAAATTTCTCTTTATAGTGAAACTTTTCCATTTTCATTCTAATGCTCACAAAACTAATATTTGACCTTAATAATTTTAAAAAAGTTTTCTGATGGAAAATTGCATGGTATAAATAAAATATGGTATGGATTATAGATAAAATGTCCTTAGTAACAATTTTACCTTGTCCCCAGTTGGTCTCAATATGGGTCTTATAAGAACATGCATCAAAGAACCAATATCAGGATCCCTAGATTTTTTAATATTGGTCCTAGAATAGCCTACATTGGCCAATATAGAACCTATATTTGCTAAATAATGGTTATAAAATATCAGAGAATCTGACAATTCTATAAAAAACTGATATTGGTTGTAAAGTGGCTGTAAAATATCGGATGAATCGAAAAATTCTATATAAGGCCAATGTTGGAAAAATAACGGCTCTTTGAATAATTATAGAGACAAGATTCGTGAATATTAGCCCAATGAGGGTCCAAGTTTTTTTGCTTTTTGGGATTGTGTGAATCACTATGAAATTGAATTTTGATTAAACCTATTAATTCTATTTAATAAGTATTCATAAATTTGCAGTATTAAATTTAAAATATCTTAATTTTAGCAAAAGAAATATTTATATATTTTTGCTAAATTTTAAGATGAAAATACATCTTAATTAAAACAAATTTTAGTGATTCTAAATTTATAAGTCAAAATGTCTATACATTTAATTTAGAATTTTAAATTGTTGACTTTTGAATTCTTTCTTTAGATACTAGCAAAACTCCTGAAAAGAAGAAGAAAAAGAAGTCAAAGACTCTTGGAGTATTATTATTTTTTATCCCTCTTATTTTGTATTAAGTTTGTAAATAACTTGATTCGTTCTATAGTCATTTCTTTTCATTGTTGTATTATACTATAAAATGTATTTAATGTGTTGCTTAATTTTAAAACTTCAAGTCTTTTTTAATTCTAAAATGTATTTTTTTTATCAGGTTAATCTTTCTTTATATTCAGTAGTTATGTGTGTACATATATATATGAAATATTCAATTTTATGTAGATTTGAGAGTAGTTAAAAATGTTCCGGGTGCAGTTGTTAGGAGTATTTCGGAATGGGCCTAGTTCTAAAAACATTTTTAACTTGATTTTTCTATAAAAAAAATTTGTGCTATTCAGGTTGTGAAAAATTTGGATGGTTTAAAAGTTATTATATGTTTTATAATTTGTGAAATTCTTTTTNGCAAAACTCCTGAAAAGAAGAAGAAAAAGAAGTCCAAGACTCTTGGAGTATTATTATTTTTTATCCCTCTTATTTTGTATTAAGTTTGTAAATTACTTGATTCATTCTATAGTCATTTCTTTTCACTGTTGTATTATACTATAAAATGTATTTAATGTGTTGCTTAATTTTAAAACTTCAAGTCTTTTTTAACTCTAAAATGTATTTTTTTATCAGGTTAATCTTTTTTTATATTCAGTAGTTATGTGTGTACATATATATATATTAAATATTCAATTTTATGTAGATTTGAGAGTAGTTAAAAATGTAAAAATGGGCCTAGTTCTAAAAACATTTTTAACTTGATTTTTCTGTAAAAAAAATTTATGCTATTCAGGTTGTGAAAAATTTGGATGGTTTAATAGTTATTATATGTTTGTTTTATAATTTGTGAAATTCTTTTTGACATAATTACTTATTTTATCTAAAAGACTTTTAGTGTTGCTGTTAAACCTTCATATGTATATAGCTGAATTGGTAATCCTACATTTTCAAATTAATTTCTCATTGTCTCTAATTTTGATCCTTTGGATTATAATAGGATCAAAATCGTATTGATTTTATTCCTATTGATTTCATATGATATATATTCCGGTTTGCTCAAAAGCAATTAATGTTAATAATAATAAAAGAAGTAGAGACATCAGTTTAATCTTCAATTATCTAAAAGACTTTTAGAGTTGCTGTTAAACCTTCATATATAGCTGAATTGGTAATCCTACATTTTCAAATTAATTTCTCATTGTCACTTATTTTGATCCTATTACATGATTATAATAGGATCAAAATCCTATTGATTTCTTATAATATATATTCCGGTTTGCTCAAAAGCAATTAATGTTAATAATAATAAAAGATGAGACATGCTTACTCACCTTAGCGAAGAAAGTTAGATATCCTTTAATCAATTATGCTAGTTATTTCAGAATCCAGAGCACTAAATATGAGGGATGAAAAATAACTATTTATTAATGTAGCTATTGCAAAAGATCTCTGTTGTTTTTTAATCGGCTTCATTTGTTGTTAAAGTGTTGTGCTGAATAAAATCAATAAAGTCAGAAAAATGATTTGATTTTAATAAAGCGATTTCTTTTTGATTTTAATAAAATGTTATTTTGAGAAGATAAAGAGTTGTTAATTTAAAAAATATATTTCCATCTTGTATTAATATGCTTTAAACCTTTAAATGCTTTCTCTAAAAAAATTTTTTTTACACAATTTAAAATGGCCTTATGTGCAGTTTGAAACTGTTTTTTATTGATATTTAAAAAATGAAATTATAATTTTAAATCTGTTTTAGGAAATACAATGCGAAGAAAATTTTATGCTTTCTCCCTCTGAAAAGCCAGCCACATTAAACAGTTGTGATTGGCCATTACTGTTAAAGGTAATATTTAACTGCTTGCTTATTGTTTTTCATAGATTATTATTTGTTTCCAATTATCATTTTTCTTATTTGTCTTATTTATATTACCCTGTAATCCTCTAAATGCTATGAATCGTAAATATATTAATTTTTTCCCTGTTGCAAATTTCTATTTCTTTTAATAACCTCGCAAGAGATCTAGTAATGATAATTAAAATATTATCATTTAAAACTAAATTAATTACTGTCTCATATATATTATATTAATTCCCGATAAGTCTGTTAATTCTTAATAAGTCTGTTAAACTTTTTAAAACGCTTTTTCTATTTGGAGTAATATAGAATAATTATTTCTTTTCTTTTTTAATATTTTCTGGTCAAAGATAATCTTCAGTTTATTATATGTCTAAATGAAAAATTAACTCTCCCTCTTTACAATTAATGATGGTGTTGTGCTTGTATAAAAATAATTGTGATTTGATTTTTAGTGATTAAATTATGATTAAAAATTAGTTTATAATTATTAAATATTTTTAACAATAAGAAAACTTGATTTTTAACAATCCTGGATTTTTTATAATAGTTATACTATTGAGTAGATGGTAGTGCAGTTTCCTCTACAAATTTTAATGGTTTTTATATGGTGTATATTTATTCAGATATGTCTATTTTAATTATTTATCCTGGCTGAAATATATTAATTTTTTTTTCTCTGTTTCTTATAATTTTTATTTCAGAATGTTGACAGATTAAATGTCAGGACTAATCACTACACACCTATTCCAAGTGGATGTTCACCTCTTCAGAGAGAAATCCGTGACTATATTACGTCAGGTTTTATTAATTTGGACAAACCTTCCAATCCATCATCACATGAAGTTGTGGCATGGTTAAAGCGAATATTAGAAGTTCCAAAAACTGGTCACAGTGGTACCCTTGACCCAAAAGTTACTGGGTGCCTGGTTGTTTGTATTGGTAGGGCCACTCGTCTTGTTAAGTCACAGCAAGGTGCGGGAAAGGAGTATGTTGCCATTTTCAAGTTGCATAATTCTGTTGAAGATCCTGTTAAAGTTAGCAAGGTATTGTGATTTATCCAATCCCATTATTGTTCAATGGATATACTTATTTGCATATTCATTAAATTTTTTGTCTTTCCTGAATTATTTATGAAAATACTATTTGTTCTAATCTTTGAAAATTAAATACATAGTTTATTTGTTTCATGAAAAAAGTTTTGAATTCGTTTAGGGTCTTGAATTGTTGACTGGAGCTTTGTTTCAAAGACCACCTCTCATTTCTGCTGTTAAAAGACAATTGCGTATAAGGACAATTTATGAAGTTAAGCTGTATGAGTTTGATATGGAAAAAAATTTAGGTTTGTTAGTTTCTTTTTAAAAATTATTTTTTTAATTTAAATTATAAATATTTTTTATAGTATATTTAATATACTATAATAAATATTTATTATAGTTTCGATGAAGGTTGAAGAGCTTTGTTACAGAAATTTTTTTATATAATTGTTTAGTCGTATAAGTTTAGATTTGTTAATTCGATTATTATTGTAAAAAATTCAATAGTACCTATAGATTGATTTTGGTTACAATCCATTAAAATTGTAAAGGTTTTGTTAAAAATATATATATATTTATTGGATTGTAAAATAGTGAAATTTTTTTGTATAATTGTTAAATTTTAGGTTCTTAAAATTTACGCAATTTTTTAGAAAAAATCAACTGTAAATTTCGGTTTGTTATTTCAATTATCATTCATTTAATAGTAAGGGTAATAATTGTGAAGAATTGTACCTTAGAGAATTATATGACTGTTATAATAATAAAAATTCTATCTTCAATTTTCAAATCCTAGATTCATATGTTTCAAGAAACCTTTTATTGTAACTCAACGAAGCTATATGTTAAGGTTTAGTACAAAAGAAAAGCTTGAATCGAGCAATTGTTAAAAATGTATGCATAATTGTTGAATCCTAGCTTTATTCTTAAGGTCCCTGCAACTTTTCAATGAAGATTAAAAAAATTTGTGTGATTAAGTCAGGAATATCTGTTTAGATAAATAAAAAAATAACACAACTTAGACTATATAATTTGTTGAAGCTGAGATGTATTTATTGTTAATCGTTATGTTTCCTACTTGATGTTATTTTATATAAATTAGCACCTAATAAATATTGTGTGTAATTTAATGTACAGGTATATTTTGGGTGAGCTGTGAAGCAGGTACCTATGTGAGGACCATGTGTGTTCATTTGGGCTTGGCCTTAGGTGTTGGTGGTCAGATGCAAGAACTAAGAAGAGTTCGTTCTGGTATTCAAAGTGAAAAGGTAATGATTAAGTTATGCATTGAAACCATATATTAAAGACACTGATATTGAATTGTTCTATAAATCTTTTTAAACTTTTTGAGTCCGTTAAATGCATACCTGCCAAGTCTCCTGTTTACCCATATATTCTCAAATTTGAAAAAGAAAGAAAAAAAATTTTAATAAAATATCCACTGATGGCAAAAATACTTCTCTTAATCCTCAACAGATAGTGCTATAGCCAGCACTGCAGTATGTTGAATGTTTATAGTTTAAGTAATTATAAATAATGGTTTTAAAAATATTTCGTATATTAAGTAGTCGTATTCCACTCTAAAAAATGTCGATCGTAAAATCTCCGATATTTCCAATGTTGGCAGGTACGTAAATGTCTAGAATGAATACGTATAACATCATATCTGATGTTACTGATATCTGATACGTATAACATCGTAATATTTTAATTAAAATAATGCAGCTTATATAATCATGTCAAATCATTACCCAGTGATTACTTTCTATATTTTATAAAACTCTAGTATTTTTGTCGCTGAACAGATTAAATGTAACATTTCTTGCATCCACAATGAGTTTAAACAAACTAGAATATAAGTTGGAGAGAAATGGGAGGCTGAAAATGAGTTCCCACAGTCCTTAAGTCACTCTTATAAGTGAGCTCTTATCCTCCCACTGGCCACTAAAAAAAAAAAAGAAGAAGAAGAAAATTCTAAAAATTGTAATGAATTAAATAAATGTGTGTGATAAAGTAGTAACATTTTTTTAAAAATTTTCACTTGTATTAAAAAGTAAATAGTTCCATGATAAATACAATTCTATTAGTACTTGCAATACAATGAAATTGTTTTTTTTTAAGTAAGTAATCCACTCTGTCACTGAGGGTATAAGTGTATTTGATGATAAATAATTATGCTTCTTTAACTATCCTTAATTGTTTAAAAAGGTGTGTAATTTTTGCTTTGATAAAAGATTGAGAACACTGTTAATACAAACAGATATATTTGTTAATTTTTGCTTCAATAATGCTTAGTAATAGTTAATGTGGTTAAGAGCTTTGTTTTATCCATAAAGATTTGCCCGAGATTCACTGTTTATATAATTGAATCATTTATTTATACACTATTTATATAATTATTAACTATTTGTGTAATTGATATAATGGAATTCCAAACAAGTTAGATATTTAGAATTTGTTTTCTCAGGAACTATTCGACTGATTGTGGTCAAATTTTGTGTAATTGCTGTGTAAAATTATATTTTTTGAAATGACCCAAAAATTTTATACCTTACAATTCAAACATTTTTTCAACCATTATAAATGATCATCATAATAAATATTTACCGCAATTTTTTTTTTCTTCCTTAGAATTATGTTTGAATAAACGAATTTTGTAACTGAGTACGAAAAATTTTCAGCTCACTTCCAAATTTCTTCAATCTCTTCATAACGAAATACTGATGAAGTAAAATTGACATTAAAAAGTCCAATTTTTGGGGCACTCTCCTGTTCAGACGATTGGAACTATATTTCCTAGATAGCAGCTGCCCCTTATATAATCCAAATTCATCGAGAGAGAAAGAACTATGTTCATTCAGAGAAAGTACATTTTTGTGTCTGATTTCGTAATTTAAAATGTCTGCGCTTACTAGTTTCCATATTAAAAATTACCCTCTTGAGCCTTTTGAGTTTTAGTCCTAGAACATGAGGATCCAAACATTAGATCATAAGTTATTCATGAATGCACTGTACATAATTTAAATACACAATGTACATAAATTAAAAATAGGTGTTTTGCATCTTTTCCAGCAAAGTCTATACACAATGCATGATGTTTTAGATGCCATGTATGTGTACAATAACCACAAAGATGAATCTTATCTACGAAGAGTTATTCAACCACTTGAGGGATTGCTTGTGACCCATAAAAGAGTTATTGTGAAAGATTCTGCCGTGAGTAACTAAATCTTTAATCTAATAGTTTTCATAAATGTTTTATTATCTCATTAAAATTTTACTAATATGAGCTAGGTATAATTATTTTAATAATGATATTATTTTATAATTATTAAATTATATTAGTGTATTTGAAGAGATATTAGTAAAAAGTGAAAGAAAGTTTTTTTTTTTTTTTTTTTACCTGANTTTTTTTTTTTTTTTTTTTTTTTTTTTTTTTAACTGAGCTTTTGAACATTGCTGCATTGATTTTATCATTTTTATTTTAGGTAAATGCTATCTGTTACGGTGCAAAAGTGATGTTGCCTGGTGTTCTTAGGTATGAAGACAACATTGAATTGAACCAAGAAATAGTAATTATGACAGTTAAAGGTGAAGCTATCGCTTTGGGTAAGACTAATATGGCTCTTTTCCCTGCTGTATTGGCTTCATATAGTACACAAAACTGCTGTCTGGTTTGAAGGGATTCTTTTCTCTTCAGCCTTAAGTTGTTTAAATATTTTGGGGTTAGAGCTGTATTTTATTTGTGCTTTTTTTTAAAAAAAAAATTATTATTTATGTATTATTTTTGTTTTTATTATTACAGTGCATTTTTGCACTTTCAATTTTACGTTCATTTTTAGTTATGTGTTTATTTATATAATCTATCTAGTAAGTTATATGACACAGTACCCATAGGTTCAAGAAATCATTTCCTTTACATTTGTTGAACAAATCAGCATAGCTTAAGAGAAATTCAGAGAAATCTCTTATAATGAGTCTTGATTTAACAAGAATTTGGATTTAATGAACACATCTTAAATTTTTGGTTGGTTCAATGTTAAGTCTTGTAGCATAGTTTACTTTTAACGAGCTAACCCCAATTTGACCAAGCAATATTTTTGTGATTCGTAAAATTTCCACCATTCCAATTTAGCTAAAAACCCTTTAAAGACAGCTGAAAATTAGTGTGTTATAAATTCAGCAGAAACATTAATGTTTTTAAAAGCACCTGAACTTCTTTCTTTCAAATGTTGAGTCTCTTATCTGAAGTTATGGTTAATTACCCAAAAAAAGAAACAATAAGGTAGTTCAAATCAAATGAAATAACTTTTTTTATGTTCTACAGAAAAGGAGAAAAGAACGGTATTTTGTTTATATCTTAGAAAATATGTATAAATTTCTACAATATTTTCTGGGTGCCATTTTTTACTAGTCACTTCACTCTCATTATTAGCAATTTCGGCTATATTGATAAGTGATAAACAATCCATTAATCTTTGATGTTAATCTGCTATGGTTACGTCCTATTTCCCAAAACATTCTAAAGTGTCTCATAGGTAAATTGTTATTTAGATTAGCAGTGATTACTTCATAGTTGTAGAGCTAATTTTTTTATTCAGTTTTTTTCTTTCGTAATTAATTCATAATTCTAAGCAATAATCTGAGCTATCTAATTATAAATGAGCTGCACACATTTTAAATTCTGTTAAAAATAGGTTTTTAATTTTACTTTATTTTTTAGGTATTGCATTAATGACCACATCCACTATTGCAAGTTGCAATCATGGAGTCATTGCAAAACTCAAAAGAGTTGTAATGGAACGAGACACATATCCACGAAAATGGGGGTTAGGACCCACAGTATGTATACCTTTTTTTTTCTTCTAGAACTTAATTTTTTCTATTATCGTCTATTGCATATTTTATACCATAAGCTCCCAATTATCCATGGTTGGATAATCTGCTTTTCTTTTATTTATTTATTTATTTTGACGCAACATATAATTTAGAGTTGAATATAAATTCATATTGGTGGAGCTGTTTTGAGAGCAACATACTAGCAAACATTCAAGTTTGTAGCCTAGCTGTTCACAATTAATCAAATAATGGGTTTAGATTTAAACATTGCAACTTCAAGTGCAATACCCATGTAAATAGGAGCATTTAAAGGATGATAATGGTGAGGCATTCATAAACGGAAGAGAAAACATGAGCCATGATTTGCAGCTGTTGAACTACTAATGCAGGATCAAGTTCAATGAATAGATTTCACACCCATCAAAGCATATCAATCCCAGGGTCCAGGAAGAACAGAAAAAACCTGGAATGGTCAGGGAATTTTATTTTGACTCTTTAAAAACAGGGAAAGTTGCAATTTTTTACAAAAGAACCTTGTGCTTTGAAAATAACTAGTCTTAGAATTGTCAATAACAGTAATCAGTTGTAGAGATTCAAGTTATTCCTCTTTTTCGTGTATCTTTTCCATGTTTCTCTTCTCATTCCATTATATGTTGTGTAGATAAAATATGGTATGGATTTCTATTGAAATTTACCTAATATACCTGGAAAAGTCCAAGAATTTATTTTCTGAAATTGAGTGGGAACCATGAAGCATTCATGCGAATTTAAAATACAGGGTCACAATTCGTATTCGCCCATTTTTTAAATCTGATATTGCAATTTTTTATTCACGAGATTTTGAAAATCCAACACCTTAAATTAGTTACTATAATGGTTGGTATTCTCCATTGGTATGTAATTTAATTATAAATCCTATTCAAAATATTATGTTAAATACAAAACATGCATGTATATTAAGATACAAGTATATTAAGTAAACCTCTGTGTATAACAAAGTCTATTCTATTATTTGTATAGCTTAATACTGTGTTGTTTCTTAGGCCACCTTAAAGAAAAAAATGGTAAAGGATGGCTTGTTAGACAAGTATGGTAAGCCAAATGAAAATACTCCTGCTGATTGGAGTTCAGTATATAGTGATGTGTAAGTATCCTTGTTGTTTTATTTATTTTGCTTTGAACTGAAATGATTGCAGTATTTTATAATTTTATATTGTGCTTCAAGCATTTCTTGTTTTTCAATGCTTTCTTTTTTTTACAGTAAAGTCAAAAGTGAAGTTGCTACGCCTGTTGCAAAAATTCGAGAAGTCAAAGTTGAAACGTCCACTCCTATGAAGGTAATTGATCTTTTATTAAAAGAGGATGTAGACACTGTTTTTTCTGTCAGTTATTTTACTTTGGTTCTCAGTTTTCATTATTCTTCGTGATATGTGTTAATATTTGATTTAACTGTGTATATTACTTTAAGAGAAGACAACTTTTTAAAATTTAGTGGTTTTTAAA